ACAGGGGACATGCCCCCTCCACCTCCTCACAGGCCGCACCACAGGCCCCGGGGCCCTGGGAGGTGGCACCTGGTCCTGGGTCCCAGCCACTCCCACAGCAAGAGACTCCCCAGGGAGGGGTGGCCCCCACTGGAGAGCTCCTGGGCCAGGGAAGGAGGTCAGGTCTGTGGGGACCCTGGGCCCCTTGCCCTCTTGCTGTGCCACCTCGGGGAGCAGTGGGGCTGCCTGTCCCCCGAGGCCCAAGGCCCCGAGAGCTGGGTGCGACCTTGCACTGATCCGGGCTGGGGGAGGGGGCACTCTCCAGCCTCCCCCCCTCACACCACCTGAGCCCATCCTGGGAGGACCCTGAGGCAGGTGCCCCTGCAGAGGGTGGTGGGGAGCAGTGTGGCCAATGTCCCCCAAGGCTCAAGGCCCCCAGCGCTGGGTGCAACCTTGCCCTGACCAGGGCTGGGGGAGGGAGCCCTCTCCAGCCTCCCCCCCTCACACCACCTGAGCCCATCCTGGGAGGACCCTGAGGCAGGTGCCCCTGCAGAGGGTGGTTAAGTCTCAGTCTGAAGAAGAATGTTCTGGAAGGACTCGGCAGGGGGCTGGCAGTGGTCTGTGCAGAGGCTCTCAGCTCTGGGACCTTTGTCAGGCCGGCCCGCCTGGCGCCTGGCTCACCTGGACAGCTGTCAGTTGTGGCGGTCTGGAAGGACCCAGCAGGGGACAGGCAGTGGTCTGTGCTGAGGCCCTCAGATCTGGGACCTTTGGCAGGCTGGGCCGCCTGGCGCCTGGCTCACCTGGACAGTGTTCGGCCGTGGCGGCTGCAGTGCCCAGGAGGACTAGGGCCAGGACCACGGTTCCCATGGCAGTGACTATCCCGTGTGGCTGCCTCTCAGGTCCCGCTGCCAAGGAGCTCCCAGCTTTTATTGCTGCCCGAGCCCCGCCTCTGCTCTAGTTCCCTCCTGGCCGGCCCACTCCCTCCTCAGCCCCAGGGACGGTCCCCCCACCACGCCCTCAGCACCCCCTCTGCAGTGGCCCCCTTCCGCTCAGTGGAACCAGATGCCCCGCGTGTGGAGGGGGGTGGGGAGGGCCTCCGTGTGTCTTTATTATTTTTATTAGAGATGTATTTTTATTGATTTTGGAGACGAAAAGAAAAGGATTGAGAGCTAGAAACACCGCAAGGAGAGAGAATCAAACTCGCCCTGGGATCCAGCCCGCAACCCGCCCATGTGCCCTTGACCTGGATCTAACCTGGGACCCTTCCGTCCGCAGGCTGGCACTCTGTCCACTGAGCAACACTGGCCTGCGTGTTTCCTTAGAGAAAGCCCAGGAGCCCCATCTCGTCCCCAGCTCTGCCCAGGGGGACCCCCTGAGGGACCTCCAGGACGGCAGGGGTGGCCTGGCAGGAACTCACTTGCATGCAATGGGCTGCGGGTTCCAGAGGTTTAGAGACTCCCTGGGGTCCAGGGTGGGCAGATAGGTGGGAAGGGGAGAGGGAGGGAAGGAGGGGAGGGGAGGGAAGGGGAGGAAATAGGAGGGGTAGACAGAGTAGAGGAGGGAAAGGCAGGGGAGGGAGCTGAACTCCCAGAATGTCCCGGTCATCTTGCCGGTCAGCGGCGTCCAGCGTGCTCTCTGCGTCTGGTTTGGTGACTGAACGCCAGCTCACCTGCTGGCTCAGGGCCCCTGGGAGTGGGAGGCGCTTCCCGGGAAGCCAGTTTCTGGGAATTGTAAACAAAAATGTACTTCAGT